AAATATCCTAAGAATATTTAATGCTTAAATTAAATTAAAACTTTAAGAATTGAAAAAAGTTTTTCAAGGTTAGTTTTTAATTTGTATATAACCATTTCATGAAAATTCTGATGGAAAGAATAATAATTAATGTAAATGTTATCAAAGCCAAACAATCTACTGAACTATTGTGCTATTTTCAGGCTACATTAATAATCGTTTACCAATTATCATGTGGCTTTAATCAGTTAAATTGGGTTTTGAGTTGGATGTTGTTATATATTTCATCTTTGAAGAAAGCCAAAACATTATATTAGATAAATTTCTAAAGTAAAAAATAGCAAAAGCAGTTAGAATTCAAAATTTATTTGGATAAATATATTGGAAACTTTAAAAACTAATTTATTGGAGAAATTGATAAGAAGCAAGTCTTAAACTTAGCCCAAGTATGTTAAAGCTGCTTAGGCTTGTCATCACAGAACAACAAAAAGTAAATTCCAAATTCCATCAACTAAAAAACATTTCAAGTTGAATGAGGTTTAAGAACATTAGAGCAGACAAATGCCACCTTCCAAACCATTATCTTTATTTAAAAATACTACTGTTCAAACCTATTCAATCCCATATGAAATCTTTGTTTCATCCCACTTTCAATCCTCACAGCTCTCCTAAATCTTCAAACCATACTGCTTCATATTCACTATTTCCTTCCACTTCTCTTTTCTTATCTGTTTTTATGTCACCAATAACACTTTGCCATCTTTGAGATTAACAGTCTAGGCTCTATCTCCAAATCCATAATCTTTCCACTGTCAATGTATTTTCTTCTTTCTGTATCTCTTCTAACAACTACATATCTCCCACTTCACCTCTCTACCTCTATCCAACATCACTTGTAGTATGGTCATCACTCACACCCATATCCTATCCTTCCTTTTCTAGTCCTCAAAATGTTCTCATATCTTGTGTCCAATGTTCTCTTTGTTACTCCTACATAATATTTCTTCACTCCAGAGCTGTCTTCTACCAGCACCATATAAACTTCAGCTCTCTTTGTCTCTTTCCTGCCTTCTCATTCACAACCCTATCAAAAAGCATTTGATTTCTCTTCGACATTATTTTTCCATTTATTGCTTTTTCCAGAGCCTTACAAAACACTATTTCCCACAAATCAACATAATGTAAAGAGACTGACTTTGCTGTCTTCTGTTTTTGTTCTGTTCTTCTTCAGTACATTTTCTAACTCTAAAAACAACCTTTAAAATTCTGATTTTGTAACTTTGTGTTTCTCTGCCAGTTCCAGTAACATTTCTAACTCTGTCTCTAGAAATCCCCATGTCGAGAACAGAACCATTGCACTTTGTGCCATACTTTTGAAAGCTGCTATTCTATATTAATATGTTTTATTTACAGTCGACCCCCCTATAAGATATAGATACGTTCCAATTTATTAGGAATCCGATTTCTTACAAGTCGTTCCAATCACAGCCCGACACGTGTGAAGTTTAAGGACTACAGCTGATTGAAAGGTTTTCTTCCATAAAATTAATTGATTCTACACTAATCCGACTCAACATTTCCAAAATACGTATATTTTTTTTGTAGTTTTATAGGAATCGTAATTATAAGGACCGTAATTATAGGGGGGTCGACTGTATTTATTTTATGTAATAGTAAACTTTTAAAATGCATTCATAAGTCTTAACCAGTTTGAATGCTAGATGCAATTTGGAATTTTATTTTGTTGTTGCCCCTGAAGATGAGCCTAAGAAGCTCAAAAATACTTGGGCTAAATATAAGACTTTTTTAGTTTCTTCTATAAAGTAGTGTTTAAAGACTTAAAAATAGTATTTCATTAATATTGGTATTATATTTAATGTATTTAAAATGCTATAATAGCATTGTTGTATATCACATATAAGAAGAGAGACTGCTTGTTAGATATAATTACAGTAATATTCGTTTTATATTTAACTAATTAAATTGCATGTCTAATAAAGTTTATGCCTCCATCCTTACCAAAATTAGTTTATTAAGTAAGAAAGTAATTGCCAAATATTTTTGGGAGGCACTTAATTCTTTTTTGCAGCTGTGGGTGTGATTTCCCAAAGTAGAAAGTATACCTATAGATTAAGAAACTCTGTTCTAACAAAAACTTTCATATGAAATATTTAAATTAAGTTTAGTATTAAGTCAAATTGTTTGCTTTATTTCACAATAGTTAATATGAAAGACAAACCATAAAATTTTGTATAAGAATCTGTGGATGGGATCATGCAATATATTAACATTAATTTAACAATAAGTTTGGTTAGTGTTCATCTCAATTGAATCTCCACAATCACTATAACAAGTTGTGAAATATTTTACTTACTTTTATAAAGTTGCACACAAGATTCTCTTATCATTCTCTTAACTTGCGTATAATAGCTACTGCAAACTGTGTTTTGTAAGTAACTATGTAAAGAACTAAATTTACTTTACTAAAATGTTATTTATTTGTATTTATATTAATATTTTTAAAAATCAAAACCATTATCTAAGTTTCATTTTTTTTTATCAAATGATGATAATTCTCTTACTTTCAATTTGTGTTTCACTTATGCTAACCAATTGTGTTTTCTTTCATTACAGTTAGTATGTTGTATATCACGTATAAGAAGAGACTTCTTATTAGTTGACATTTTGGGCTGCAGTTTTCAAATTGTAGACCATTACATTTCTACTGTCGTATATTTATATGTCTGTCCTTTGTTAATTAATTAATCTTGATAACCAAGTTATATAGATGAAAATTGAGACCAGGAGTCTCGAGGCCTGATGAACTATAGATGAAGTTCCAATCTGTACTGGAAATCACATGATGATAAATTGCAGCCCAGCATTGTGACAATGTCACAATAAATAATTGCATGTTAAGATAATTTTATTTTTATTTATACAATGTTAATTACAAATGCAGTGTTTACCTGTATAATGGTATTGGTATAATGGTACCTGTATAATGCAGTGTTTACCTGTATATATATATATAACACCCGTGCGCATGTGTGTTAACTGACTTTTGGGTCACCCCCATATTTTTAGTAATAAGAATCTTTCTGATTTTTAAAGAATACCAGCACAATACATTTTAAGACACAAGTGCAGTGTTTACCTGTATAATGGTAAACACTGCACTTGTGTCTTAAAATGTATTGTGCTGGTATTCTTTAAAAATCAGAAAGATTCTTATTACTAAAAATATGGGGGTGACCCAAAAGTCAGTTAACACACATGCGCACGGGTGTTATATATATATATATTAATTAATATGTGGAGGAATTTTGGACCATCCTGCATTTAGTAAATTTATTCCATTTACTTCTACCTGTTTTAAGGTGGGGGAAAAGGGTAGGGAAGGCAATCTTGTCAAAAATTTAATTATATCAAATGTTTTAGAAGTGCATCGGTTAGAAAAGGTATCAATCAAGCTTCCCTAGTATCTGTTTAGAGCAACCATTATAAGAATGTCTGGTTTACTGTACATTTAATTGAATACTCAACTGGTATGTCATTTTGAAAACAATGTGAGAAATTTTTCAGAATTATGCTCATTTTGTCTGTGTAATTAACTTTGACAAACAAATTTTCTAACACTCAAAAGATGTTTAAATTATTAAGTGGACAGTTTGGTAAGGTCAACTGTGATTTAAAATGTTGATTTAATTGTTGAGTGATTTTTTTTTAAATTTCATTGAAATTTTTTGCTTATCGAATGTCTTCAGAAGGTTTTGATTTTGGCATTTATCTGTTTGGTTAAAAACCAAAACAAAGGTCAAATAGTTTGCTTTATTTAAATGTAACATTAAATCAATATAAGTTTCACTAATTGATCTGGGAAACATTATAGCAGAACTCCAATTAAGCAAATGTCCAGTTATTCGAACTACCACTTGTCCTCCTTTCTTCCACTGATGTCGCAATCAGAAATGTGTATTTGTTGCGACAGGTCCAAATGATTAGTAGGATGCTACTTGCACATTGATGATTAATAAATAAATAGTCTATTTATAGTACTGTGCTGTTATCCTGTAATTTCATTCTTTACATGTTAATATGCTTATCTGAATTTTTGATTATCCAAATCAACTGCAGAACAAATCAGTTCAGATAATTGGAGTTCTACTGTATTTAATATTTGATTATGGTTTTGTGTGTTGATCGAGCTGCCCTGATAGTTGGTAGGGCAGCTCAATCAACACAACAAATTTGTAAAATTAATATGCATTTTATTTGCAGTCCTTTGGACTTTGTTTTCTTTATATATATTTTGTGGAAATGCCTGGGAACATAGGGATTTTTGCATATGGAAACAATGGGATGTCTGATCAGTATGACTTGAGGGAATAATGGCAATAGTAAGGAAGGGAATTGTGAATGGAAATAGTTTGATGCAAATGAGTCTGATTTTGGCACAGACTTCATTAGATTAACAGTGAGAGATAACTGAAAATCAATACCATACTGTTAACCAAAGTGGAAATTTCAAAATACCGTATTTACTCGCATATAAGATGAGGTTTTTATTCATTTTTCATTGCTTCAAAAACCTAGGTCGTCCTATATGCACGAGCAAAAGATTCTTTGCATTTTCGCAATAATTTTTGTGAATCATGTGTTTGCATTTTTTACCGGATGCTCACCCTCTGGTGTTTAAACACAAAAGTATTTTATCTGGGTTGTTTCAATCGTCCTTGTGTATTGTCAGGAGTAAAGATGAATAGCAATAGGAAAAGCAAAGCTTTTGAATTGAATTCCAAAATCATACAGGAGCCCAATATAAGTTTCAGTCCATTCTCACATGAAAACAGATGATTATCGGAAATCAGAATTTGGAGAAACTGATATGTTTAATCAACAGAGAGTGGATTTGACTGTTAAGAATTTGCAAAAAAGGTTCCTGATTGTCCAGCTTCACGTGAACAAAAATTATGTTGTCAATTTTTCAAGTTTTTTCTTTGAAGTTTAAAATGACAGTAATTTTTGCAGGACAATGTGTGCATTTACGTTCATTTGATATTTTACTTGTGATTAAACGAAAAAAAATTAGAATTGTATTAGTAAATCTAATTTTCTTTATTTTGATCTTTAAAGTCACACCTCATTCTATATGCGGGTAAATACGGTAAACTATGAATATGACTGTGTTCCTAATTCCACCTTTGCAATTTTACAATTTATTTCTCACGTGCACCTTCAATGTTTGCCTGTATTCGTCATTTCTAGAGGGCCTTCTCTTGTAGGAAATCCTTCTCTATTAGCTATTAGTTTTTGGGGTTTTTTTTGGTGAGCCAGAGGTCAGTTTCCTCACATTTGGTCAGCCAGCTTGTCCTTGAAACTTAGTACCTAGAGATAAGTAGGACAAGAGTCAAAAAGAGTGCAATTAAAGCAAAATTAGTTTTATTTTTTAAACTGTTTTAAAGTACAGTGCACATTCCTAATCCTGTTCGAACAGTAGAGTTGTGGTCTATTGACCATTAGTGCAAAGTAATCAAAAATTAGTCATCTCAGTCAGAAATCAGATAATACTAAGAATATTTTAAAATGTATTTTTATTTTCTCTGGAAGATCTCACTCAAATGCAAGTTGATTCTAGCTTTATTTATTTTTTTACTATTGAAGGAGTATAGTTTCCCTTCTCCTATTGATTTATTTGTTTACAGTAATGCCACAAATGGGTGATCTGTCAAGGGGATGCCTTGTGGGAGGTCTTTCTATGGGAAATTGGCCCTATTTAGGTGTTAGATAAGTGAAGAAAATGTGAATCTAGTCCAGCTTGTTGGTCGGGAGTAAACCCATGACCACTTATAAAATAAATTTTAAAATTTGTTATTGCATAATTCGTTTCAAATCTGAGTTATCAGACTCATGAATAAAAACAATACTAAATTTTAATAAAATTTTCTTTATTTTTTATGTTAATACATTGTGACCACAATGCACAATAATCTGGCATTTGAAATTATTAAAAATTGCAAATTGTTTGTCTTTCTAGAGTCCGAGAATGGAAGAAAGACTGAGAGAGACAAATGAAAGAGAATTGAGGAGTATGGACAAGTTCAGAGAAGAAGGAGAAAGGGGAGGCAGCAGAGAGAAGATGTCAACAGAGAGAGTTCATGTCCGGGAGACGGAATCGGTAGAAAAATTGAAAGCTAAAGACAAAGAGAAGAAAGCTACAAGGAAAAGAGTAAGTTTTTAACAAAAACTTTTCATTTTTTAAATAAATAATAACTTTCAGACGCTATTTTCAAATTGCTAAACTTAAATCATTATTACAAATTTTCTGAGATAGCAATAGAATCAGGCTCTTAATTGAAGCAGTGAGATGCTTTTGTATTTTTGAGGGGGGGAAACAAAAAATCTCTCTGCTAGTCATTGTTTCACTGCTATTGGAAATAAAATTTTACTTCGTTATTAGCAGAAAGAGCTACTACAATAGCATTGCAAAAGCAGGACACAGCAGCCTGACAAGTCCCTTTCTTCAACTAAACTGTTCATTTTCAGAATCACCTATACTGCCAAAAATTCACATTTTATTACCAAACAATGTAGGATTGTTCATATATATACTGAGTGGCCAATTTATTATGATCACCTGCAAATTTTATGCAAATCTGCTATGACATCACACTATTGCCACCACAGAGCAAGATCGTTATAAAGAGGGATTGCTGGATGATTGTACAGACAATTGAAGGGTATTGCTTGTGAAGGTACGGTTAAAAGAAGTGATTTAACAAACTTTGGAATGATTGTGGCTGCTAGAAGCAGTGAAGTGAGTATCAGCAAAACTGCTTCATTTGTGAAGTGGTTGAGAGCAGCTGTTGTTCATGTGTATAAAGAGCAAACGAAAAGCAGGTCTCAACATAAGACATGTGGTCGTCTACATGCTTGAGCTGAAAGTCCAACAGAAGAGCAACAGTATATCAGATTACAGCTGATTTTAGCCAGAGAACATCTCCGATGGCCTCTGAACAAACTGTTTGCCTGTATCTATCTCATCTTGGGTATGGAAGCCAAAGGTCTGTTCAAAAGTCATTGTTGTCTGCAGCTAACAAGATCAAACAACTCCAATTCACACATGATCACAAAGATTGGACATTAAATGATTGTTAATTAATTAAAGGGTGTTGTGGTCCGATGAATGACATTTGCAATTGCACCACATAGATGGCAGAGAGAAAACAGTCTGAAAGCATGGACCCTACATTCAAGATGGTGGAGGCTGTATTGTGGTTTGGGGGAAGTTTTCTTGGCATTTCTTGGGCCTTGCTTCGTATGGAATGCCCAAAGATATTTAAATATTGTTGCTGACCAAGTACATTCTGTTATGTTAATTAATAGCCTACCCCACTGGAGATGGATACTTCTAGCAGGACAACGGACGAGCTTTATGGCTTGGAGCAAAGATGGTTTGAAAAGCATGACAGAAACTTCACTTTGCTTAGTTGGCCTCCACAATCACCGGATTTCAATCCAAGTGAGCATTTGTGGAGATGAGGTCAAAAGCGGCATCAGGATCCAGAACAATCTACTCTTAGTGAACTGGAAAATGGAACTTATTGTATATGGTGTCAGATTCCTCCAGCTACTTACAAACATCTCATAGAGTTCATGTCAAAGAAAATTTCAGCAGTATTGCAAGCAAAAGGTGTCCCATCAATGAACTGAGTAGATGGTCATAATAAATTGGCCACTCAGTGTATACACAACAATCTTAACTCATACATGCCCACCAGTGGCTGAGTGGATATAAACATTGACATTAGTAGTTGATCACAAGTTCATGCTTCACCATCAATCTGGCCATACAGAGTTTTCCACATTTTCTTCATGTTAGTAACACCTAAATAGAGGCTAGTTTCCCTAGAAAGTCTTCCCAGAGGCATTATCCATGCAGCAGATCACCCATATGTTGCATTGATGTAAACAAATAAACCAATATTTCTATAAAATACAAAAGAATCAGTCTATAAAAAGACACAAATAAATATATACAGTAAAAATTGTCCACAATGGAATCTAAATGAAAGAACATCACTCGTTCTAAAAAATTTTTCCCATCTAGGCAGGTTTTTCTATCTTAAAAACCTGTTCAAAACAGAAAAGAATATTCTGTACCATGCAATTCTGGTTTATGCAGGTTTTACTGTACATATAAACCCAAATTTTGGGCAGTTAAAATACTGTTTAAACTTGATAGTAGTGCCAGAATATTTCAGATACAGCATTAATGTTTAGTACAATAGTTGGTAAACTGTATTTGATGTTGAAACCAATAAATTTTGTATTTTTAGGACCATTCCGATGACAGCAGTGGCGAAACTAAAAGGAGAAAAGACGAAGATCAAGGTAGAGTATAGTTTTAGTAATACAGCAGAAGTTCTGCATATTTGTATGGGGGGTTACATTCTGAAAAACTACTGTGGATAAGGAAGGGTGAAGTAAATCACAAAAGTAAGATTAGATAGGAAAAATTTTTTTGTTTATTTGTCATATATCAGAATGATGGAAGCACTAAGTTGACAAGAAAATAACACTGGATTTTCTGGCAAAAAGTTGATTTGTCCTTTAATCCTTTACAAACTGTCAGTTTTCTATAATTGTATTTCTCATGCCAGGTAGCTTGTTTATACCTTTAAAGTAGTTCTTGGATTTTTGAGGAGGAAAAAAAAACTACCTTGGTCATCAAAGAATATTTTGCCATTCAAGGTGACCACTTTAGATTCTGTAGGCGGCAGATTTCCCACCTCTTCTCGAAGTTACCCAACCAAAATTTCTTGAACTTCCTTCGTGCCGCACATTCTGTAAATTCACAAATTTTTAAAATCAAATTTGTCGTCAGTGTACAAAGCAAAAGGACAAGACATCTTCACATCTAGGTCGATAGATTAATAAAAATAATTTCACTCTTGTGCAAGTAAAAAGAAAAGGTGTTTTCCATTCTACTTAACAGAAAAATGTTATTTTTTTTTCTTTTTCTAAAACATTGATTTATTGGATATGATATGTATCTTTTTATTGGCAGAATTAAACTGAATTTACTTGTGAAATGACACAATTTGATAAATTTAGGACTTATCATACAGGAATATATTTAAAAGAGCAGCAAAATTGACCATAGAGAATTGTCATTGCAGAATGTATTTTGGGTCAAGACCCCTCTGGCTGCTGACAATCTTTTAAAACACTGGTCCAGGTAAAAAGTCATAATGGAAATTAAATAAGTTTAGTACAATATAAACAATTCTACATGATTAATTTGCCATTATTTTAAATATCTTCCTGCATGGTAAGTCCTAAATTAATTATGTGATTTAAAGAAGTACAATAATTGTTAGGATAAGAAGCTTCTAGCACATCGTGAATGAAAATAGTTCCAATTATCCTGATTATATGTCTAGAAAACAGCGCTTTGTTTAAGTATGGAATACATAAGATTTACAAAACACAGTATCTTAACAGAAAATTTATCTTAAATTGGTCATCTTAGCCCTCCACATATGGCTGAAACTACATTTCTGGATCCTTGTATCCACAGGAAGTGAGAATTGGATAGGTTTCTGACAACATAATTGCATTAGGTAGCATATTAAATGGACTGAAAATTGCACATAGCAATTGTTTGTTAATCTGCATACTCAAATTATTGCCTTAATTGTAAGTTATCTGTTTTTATTTTGTTTCTTACTTTGTCTAATTTTTCAAAATTTTAATGAGGATGCTTTAAAGTCATTTTACTCTCATTTTTTGACTATGCCTGTGGGCACTGAGAGGGTCTTTTTTCAACACCTGGTGAGAGACTGGGATAAACCACTCGCAAAAAATTCTAGATTTTTTTGCCCAGCCAGATTCAATCCTGGGGATGGTATGAACTGCCCCAATCATCGGGCTATCACTTTAGATTGCATCTATGTGCAATGCCAATTTTTAGTTGGTTTAGCAAAAAAAATTTTTCCTATTTTATTGTCATGTTTCTATCATTATACTTGACAATTTTCAAAAAAAGCTAATTATAAATATGCAAGAATCTCTGGATAGCTTAATCCACTTTTGATATTTTTATTTTTGCTTTTGATTTGCACAGTCCAACAACATACCAATAAAGCCAGAGGTTCTCTCTGGCTTTATTGGCTCTCTATAAGATATATTGTAACTGTAAGATAGATAGCTAACTGCAAAAACTAAAAAAATAACTAAATGGGCAGAGTGCAGCATCAATTCAAAAAGAAATCCTTTTGTTCAGTATGCAAACTACAATTCTTTGACAATCTGTAAATTGTTTGGCCACACATAGTTTAAGAGTATTGCTTCTTTTTTTTCCAAAATATAAACTGATTTTTAATGCAATCCATTTGCTTCCAACAGGCGTAAAGCAATCAACAAAACGTAATGGAGATAGTGAAATAAGAGAAAGAGAGAGGCATAGGAGGGTGAGTATTTGCTGCTTTGTCAACTTTGAATTATTTTTCAATTTTCTTACAAATTCACATTACAAAGTCATTATATTTTTCACCTCCTCATTTGGTTTAATGCAGTGGAAGTAGAATAATCTGAGATCAAAACAAAAGATGATCATTAGTTTCTATACATCTTTTTATTTATCATGAAAAAGCAATTGATAATCACCAGATATATCAAAACACCAAGAGAATTATTCCCTGCAGTTACTTAAAATTTTGTGTACCTGTTCAAAATGCTGAAATTTAATTTACAAACACAAAATGCAGTTTTCTATTTCAAGATAATAATTGGCAGCAGATTTATTGATCCAAATCATAGTTATTAAAAATGGCATGAGATGGATTTGGAGTTTGTGGCTCAATGTCGAGTTAACTGGAAGTGCCAAAATGTCAAATGCAATACAAACCATTAGTTTAAAATATAGGAAAGAGAAGAGACCCAATTATTTTCTGGATAAATGGTGAAATTTAGTTTGAAGATGGGTGCTTAAAGTGAGCCACTTATACTAATTGTAACAGTAATTAATTTTACGATTAAAGATCAATCAAGCCTGTACTTTAATAGTTAATAGTGAACGATTATAGTCGAGTTGTTTTCAATCTTTGAATAGAGAGTATGAGTTAATTGGAGTCCAAAAATTCAGCTGGGCTATGGTTTACACTTTTAACAAATTCTTTCACATCAATTAGTTCTTTATTGGCCAAAAAAGTGTCTTTTGAAAGCCAAGTAACTTTGTTATTGAATAATAAGGATCAATTGATGCACAATGCCAGCATCTATCTACACCTTAATCCACTCTTAAAAAATATGCCTTCTTTGGCAGACAAAGATTATTTAGGTCTTTTCCTTACAGACAAATTTGTACAATTAGAAAAATTTTAAATCTTTTTTTGTTGGTGAATAGAGAAATTGTCAAAAACTCGGATCAGTGAGTTAAAAAAATATGGTAGGCCCTCAATTTATTTGATTATAGATACAAGTTAATGTTCTTTGAATCAACTAGCAATGGCTAGTTGATCCAAAGAACATTAACTTGCCAAAGATTTTGTTCAAAAATATCTAGTTTCTCTTGTTACAAGCAGTTGTAAACAATGAAAAAAAATCCACAATTCAGGTTAATAAAGTTTTTTTTACTTTTCAAATTGGAAATGAGAATCTTTTCAATACAAAATAATAATCTAATTTAATAATCATCTCCTTCCTTCACATTTTGTTTTTCAGGAAGAAAGTCCTCCAAAAGTATACGAGAGAAGAGAAAGAAGATCTGAACGGGAGGAAAAGAAACAATATCCTTTTTGGTCTAGATTGTAAAAGATTTGTGCATAAAATGTTGCAAATCACATTTCATAATTAAGACTACAGTCCATTTCAAAATTATAAACACACCCAACTTTTTTCAATAACAAAAACATTAAATTGATATTATATTAATATATTGTTTAAAACAAATACATTACTATTCCAGCTTGCTCTGACTGTAATGCACTGGAGACAACACTTCAGAACTACTTTGACTTTAAATCTTAAAATAGTTTGATCGCTTTTGACAATATGATGGCCTAAAAATGACACCCTTTCATGTCAGCATGTGGCGGTGTTGGAATGCTATATTTATTGCACAGGCTGCTTCACTATCTGAAAATTATCACAGATTTTCAATTTTTGATTGTTTCAAAAGGTGCATAAAATTAATTATTGGTTTAATTAGTTGTCACCACAGAGTAGTAATGTAGTACAAATTTTAAACAGTTCTTGATAATTTAAAACAATGTCGTGTGGAAAAACACTAACAGAGTTGGAAATACATAGAGATTGTCCTGCTTGTTTTAGTTGGTAAACTTTAAGACAAATTTCAGCAGTTGTAAATCGATCTACGTGTGCTGTGAGAAATGTGTTAACTCAGGGTGAAAATTATAGCAGAAATAACCAACGTGGAAGATCTAAACTCCTTACATCTAGAAATGAAAGAAAGGTTTTTTGGCTACTGACGGTAAACAAGTTATGCCAGATAATCATGATCAACATTGCAATTGCAGTTTTACCAGCAACTATATGGAGATTATGCATAATCATAAAAATGGCTGCCAAACCAAAATTAACACAAAACAGCTAGATTAAAGTGGGCCAAAGACAAAATGACATGGAAAGAGGAATGGAATTTGGATGGACCTCACAGTTATAGTCAGTTCTGGTATCATTTGAGGAAGAACAAAGTCAAAAAGGTGGGGGGTAAAACAGGCATTGTAATTATAGAATGAATTCAGAAAAGTATCAAGAACTGTTGTAGCACTTATTGGGAGAGAAAACTGGCAATTCCAACAGGATAATGCTGCTATTCATGCATCAAAGCCAACTAAAAAAAAGTTAAATGTAATTGATTGGCCATCACATGGAGCCCTGATATGAACCTGATAATCATCTTGTTTATGGCCAAAACAGACAATACAACACAGCTAATTTCAGTTCGTTTACAATCATGGATTGTTGGGAAAATATTAAACAAGAACAATTTTAGAAAGTAGTAAAATATATGCTTGACAGAATATTTTAAGTAATTAAATCAAATGGTGGACCAACAAAATATTGAGACATCACAAATAATTTTTTTATGCAACTGTGTTTATACTTTTGAAACAATGAAAAACTGGAAATCCGTGATAATTTTTTTTTCAAATAGCTCTGAAAATGTTTAAATTGATGTTGTAAACAACATACTAATATAATAAATACATTACTATTGTTAATTGAAAAAAGTTGGGTGTTAAAGTCACAAAATTTACGGATTTTACATGGCTTAATCCTTAACAGAATTCCACTCATCGATCGAGTACATCAGCTGCTGTGGCAGCATCCGTCAAGAGGAGATCCTGAAGTGCGAACGCTTCTGTCTGTTTTGTAGAAAACTAAATCACCACCCCGTGCCTCCACATTTAGTCTTTTATAACTAAGGACGCCGTCCACGGGAGGAAACAGGCGTCTCAGATTTTTTATCCGGAACCGAGGAGGCGAGCAACGAGGACGCACGTATCGCGCGAGGCCAGGCAACGGTGTACATACAAGTCGTCGCGTATTTAAAAATTAGTTCTCTTTGCTATTTGCTGTTCTTGCAGAAATTTTATCACCTGTGGCGACCATAACAGAGCCTGAAAAAAGAAATAAATGTAATGAATTTCATTATAACTGGATGTTGTGTTATTTTGAATTTTTAATACATACAATAAATATTTCCTATATAAAGTGTAAAAAAAATTTTTTTACAAACAAGATACTCTGTCTCTCCTGTCATGTTTTGCACCATGAATATTATCAATTTAGGCAAGTCCACCAAAAATGTAATTTGGAATGCTTATGACTTTGCCATGTATAGAATGTTTGTTTAATTGCACATCCTATTTTTATAACTTTACAATATATATCACAAAGGTAAATTTCACAACATTGTGTTATAAGTTGTACATAATTTTTTGACACAATCTTTTCTGTATCTAATTAACTGTATGTGAAAATATTCATCATTAGAAATTATGTGTTGTTGTAAAAGTGTGTGATTTGCTTTTCTCGTTCTCTTGCTTCCATAATTTTGATAATTATTGAAAAATGCTGCAAAAGTTCAAGGTATGATCATGAACAATTTTTCTTACCAACATCTTAGAGTAGTTTTAAATCAAGCAGCCATTTCAGTTTGGAAAAAGGAGAATGTAAATGTATCCAACAGTTTGAAGACTTCATGAAATGAACTTGTTCCAAAAGTAAACTACACCTCTCTAGAAAACAATGTTATTCCATTTAATATACTTTATCTTATGGTGATCAGGTTGTATGTGGAGAATCAAAGAAGCTGCCTTTCATTCATTCATGCTAAAGCAGTGTGTCAAATATTCAAAGAATATAATGTATCCCATATCATGTTTGCGAGAGGTGTAGGCCATACAACTATTATTAAAGTTATCTTAAATTCCTTAGGATATCAAGAGTTGTTAGAATACTTCTTGATGTCAATAATAACTTACTTAATCTAGTGTCTAAAATTACAGAAATGAGAAAATTTCTTTACTAAAGTATTCTTAACAGCTTGGAGTTGATAGTTATGAAAGTTCTTTTATTGCGTATTAAGATTTAATAACTCTGCTTTTTAATACAAAACTGTTGGAGACTGCCATTTAAATATGACTTGAAGTTTAAGTTTTCTTTGTATGTTTTCAAACATTCAAATGTGAAATTATGATTCCCAACAAATCTCTGACATTTTCTTTAACATCTCAATTTTCATTATAATAGGTTCTGGTAATTTGTTCGTTTTACATTAATTAACTGTACCGCAGGTTTTTGTCCTTTGGATAAAAATAAATGATTATGATTCGTGTTTTTTTCCCCATTGTCTACTGTGATAGGCATTTGATTGTTCTTTATACAAAGAAACGTAGCTTTATCGGTCAAACTTAACGAGCACGAAATAGAACTGAGTCATTTTACCTATAAATATCTATCTATATAGCATTGCCATCTGGCAGGTTTATTGCACTTTTTTTTATATGGTACTGGATCAGCTGACAGAATGTAATGGCTGTGTGTTACATTGTGTTTGTTTCTCTGATTATGTCTACAAGAATATCAAAAGTTACATTCAAAATGTCTATCTGGCTTGCTTACACATTTTCTATATTTTGTTGTGTGTTTGGAGAGATTTCAATAAAAGCTCAAAGATACGGTCTAACACCAATGATCAAAAAGACCTGCAAAATTAGGGATTGAGATAAGCCCTGGACTCCCAGTCTATGTTGTGGTGGCTACAGTTGGTAGTACTAAATGGTATGGTGTGAGCGGAAAGATCATGTCACTAACTGCTATTTCTGTTTGGCAAATGTAAAGAGGGTTTCTCTGCAAAATCAAAGCAAGCAATTCAGTATCTGAACTTCCCTCAACAATACAACTGGTTCCCTGCGACAGTTACCCATTCCCGAGCCACCATGTGTTTGGGCATTAACAAAGAAGGCACAAAGCACACTGATGACAAGAAAGGAGCTACAACTGGCATTGTATGCAATGATCCAGACTATTTGGCAACACACCTCACCTCATTGCATATATAAGTTCCTAACAAGGTCATTAAGTAATCTGAATTACTGGGTTCATGATTGTATGTAAAATTATTAGCATCTTAATTACATTAACATTTCCTAAATTTTGTAAAGTTTCCTCTGTGACAATATGTGTATTGTAATGATGTGGTTGGTTTATTTTAAAGTTCTCTGCATTTGGAACATTGCAACCCAGTGAAGCACAGTTTACTACACTAAGAATGTGTTAACCTAACCTGAACATTTATCTCTGCAAAAACCAGAACTCCACATAAAACAGGATCCTACCATAGTTACCTGTAATTTTTTATTTTTGGGGGTCCAGAACAAATTAATCAAATTACCATAAAAATCTATGGTAAACTGATAATCAGTTAACAAACAATTCAGGTAGAGAACACAGTCTTGGAATGGATTATGTTTGTTAACTGATCACCCACTATATAAAGTATTTAAAGGTTAAACTATATACACATCATTTAACAGAAAAAAACAATAAATAGAACAGAGGAAAAAAATGTGCACAATGCATTCAGCAAACCACAGCTTAGAAATATATAAATCTGTGTGTTTAGTTAATATATAATTTATATTTGTCATTTGTTTGATTTTAAAAGTAATTAAATTATGCAGGCTTCTATATGATTTTCCATTGCATATAATGGTAATAAAGATACTCTTATTAAAAATTTTAATTTCTTATATAATTAAATGNTTTTCTTTGTTAACCTGTTTACCTTTTTTTACTTTTTTATACCAGTCTACAGACTCGGGATTTATTAAGCCTCCAAAAGTCAGAAACGAATGAAAAACTAGTAGTTTTCCGTGTACTAATGAATAGTACAATACGGTAAAAAATATTGTAAAATTGATTTTAGGTTTTTAAAATGAAAAGCACAAGTATTGTGACTGTTCTTAACAAAAATCGAGATCTTTCCAGTTATACATTTATGATTAATCCCAAATTAGGTCAATTTAATTTACATTAAATTTTTATACATAAAATGGTAAAGTTCCTAAATTCTATGCTTTTTAAAATCCTTTAACTGTTTTGTGTCACTCAACACTTGCAGAACCTATCAACGATGGGTGTATTTATTAACATGCTAGAAAAAAAAAAAAAAAATCTCACATGTGCAGTAGCACCACCTGCCACCACTGCAAATTTTGAGCTATCTATTTTTGCTAATTTGATAACAGACTATATAAGTAGGAGTAAATTGACTTAAGTGACTTTGATTGTTAATATATAATAACCCCTGAAGAACCTTTATGTCCGGTAACAAAAAATGTTTAATAAATCATCCAACAAATGCTTTCAACCTTACTCAAGGTCTGCATCAGGTTAGAGTGCAAGCATTCTGATCTTGTAATTTGATTTTAAAAACATTAAATTTGAAAACCTTTGGAACATAAAATAACAACCAAAACTTAACGGTTGCAAAAGTGTGAAATCTAAAAATTACACATAAGGCAACCCTTGTGTGTCTATTTGTGGATCTGGTATATAAGTGAATAGTATACATTCAACATGATTTATTGGCACCATGATCTTCACACAAGTAACACCAGGCATAAGATAGTGTGATAGTGTGTTATCGTCCTTAAAATTGATGCACTCGCCCATCAGGCTGGCCTTGTATACTTCTAGGGCTCTAATGTGGTCAATATGGAAAGCCCATTTTATTTGCTTGTGCTAGGAAGGTCAGCGTGCACTTCTGAGTCTGTGGCATAAGTGGATAGGGCAATGGCGTGCCTTTTTTTGTTATTGTGCTCACGCGCCCTTAGTTGGTGGAACCAATGTATACTGTATACCAAGCCTCTCCAGAACATGTCCCTCACCGCAACATTGTACACATCTGAAGTTCTAAGATTGTCCAATTTATCTTTTGCATTTCATAATAACATATATATTGTAATAAAAATGACCTTTTGTAGGTCAGTTTGGTGCCAGTTATGCCTGCTATTTCCTTATACAATGCATGTAGGTGTTGGGTGTATTCAATTATGGTGCACCTAGAGTTAGGGTCGGGATTCCGAGCTCTGTTATGAGTCCTTTGGGTATAAATAACAACATTCTAAAATTTATTTAATTTTAATTATTAATTTACTTAAGAGATGGCGCCTAACGCATACCTCTAATGTCAAATTACTTTATTCCAATCATTTAATTATAGCCCGATATTTAGGCGATCGTTTGGTAATTTAGTCCTTTGGGTAATGTGGGTGTTGCGCATATCCCGTTGGTTGGAGAACCACCTAATACATAGTTTGGCAAGCACCTTCTCCAACCAACTTATATACCAGATCTAGAAATAATAGGCACACGTGTTACCTTACATATAATTTTTAGAATTCACGTTTTTTCAACCATTAAGTTTCAGTTGGTATTTTATGTTCTAAAGGTTTTCAAATTTTACGTTTTTAAAATCAAATTCCAAAATCGAAATGCTTGGAACAGAATGATTGCACTCTAACCTGATACAGACCTCGAGTAAGGTTGAAAGCGTTTGTTGGACGATTTATTAAACATTTTTTTGTTACCGGACATAAAGGTTCTTCAAGGATTATCATTAGCACCAGTAATTAAGTTGGAAGATATCTTTGTTGATATAAAGTAGATGCAAAACAGATGGGCTAATCTATTGCTAAGGTAAACTGCAGCATTTGGATTTTCCTGGGAAACTGTTAATGCTTAATAAGGACTATATGATATCTTGAGAAAACTACTGCAGATGATACCTATGGGCAAAAACCCATAATGATGTTCAAGGCCTTTGTTGGTTTTCACAGATTGGCCACATCACAGCCAATTTTAAATACTGGTGTATCTCTGGTAATCAGTCAACTCATTGTGCAAAGATGTATAGCTATGCTGGGATATGATAGTTGTGCTATTGTGTGCCCCTTGTTAATAGCTTGTAACACAAGGCTGTCACAGAGTTTCTTGGTGATATGAGTCCAATTTCATCTGTTTCACACTGCTGGATGGTATCTGGAAAAAATATGAAGCTATGAACCCATCAAGTCACGTGGGAAATTTGAAAACTGGTCTGGGGCATTTACAAATTTCAGTGTCATTCTGTCTTCCTAGGTATCCTGACCCAAACATCTCTGGGATACTGTTGAAACAGCTATTTGAAAGACCCTGCTCCAGCTAATCTTGAGAAATTATGGTTTGCAATTGAGGCAGTGTAAATTGCTATATCTCCATAGTAGTATTATCTTGTGGACTTCCAGCATTTATTAATACAGTTATTAGAGCAAAATGTGGCACAACACACTATTAGATTAGTGTTTCTATTTTTCTGGTATATCTGTAAATGATGATTGTATTATCATTTTAGCAGTATATAATTCTATCATTTAATTAGAAGAAAACCAATATTGGAGATGAATTTAAAAAAACACATTGTTACTTAGATCCTGTTAGAGTTTAAACTTGGCATAACATTACTTAACGATTAATAAATAAATGAATGAAAAGTAGAAAAATATTTTTGGGTCAATTTAAACTCAAATGAGTTAAGTGGAATATCATAACACACATACAGTGTTCATTTTAACAACTATTCAGGCATGAGATCTTTGCCAGCATTGCACAGGTGTATGCATATGGTGCATGAATTGCACTGCACTGCAATGTTTACAGTAAAATCTAAATATATAAAATTACATCCTGACTGACTGGGTGATTCATCATAGCCCAGAGCAAACCGCTAACCTAAAGAGGTGAAATTTTGTACATAGCATACATCATGAAAATGCACACTAAGAAGGGATTTTTCAAAATTCCCCAGGGGGAGAGGGAGAGGATTAAGGCTTAACCTGAATAACAGCTTCTACTGTACTATTTTAGGTGCGATTTTTTTGTTTGTTTATAGTAACAACTAATGATTGAGAATCTTAGTGAAGGAGAATTATTTCTATCAAATTGCAAATTCTGCACAGGTAATAGCTAGTAAATAAATAGATTAATTCAAAGAAGGAATTTGTGTAAATCATACAGTGGTTCCAAGCCAATATATAAATTTTCCATCTGAATACAAGTATAACAGAACAGAATTACAATATTTTAAGATTTAGCAAATGTACAAAATATCTATGACTGTCAATGATAAAAACTAATGTTATAAATTAATGCAAAAACAATTGCATTTTTTATTTTATTTTGTTCTATTACATACTCAAAATGCTCATGACACTAAAAGTGATGTTATGGATGGTTAATTATGGCATAGCACACCTGGCATCAGTACTAAAAGTTTCTCATATTTGCCTCTATAACTTGTTAAAATCATGAAGTGCTACTGTGTTGCATCATAAATCATTGGTCATGAACAAGACAGCATTGTCCTATCCATTGGTTGATCCACTAGTGCACATCTACCCAGGAGTGAGCTGGCATGCTACCTTGCTGATGTAAAACTTTATGTGGACAAATGGCAAGTCATCAAGCCATTTGTTCAATGTCACGTGTAAAGATATTAGTTGCTAGTCTAATGCTGTCAATGAACATGGAACCTTCTCACTCCAGATTCCATAACAGATGATTAGTGTCAAATATGTCTGGTGTTGCTTATTTTGTATGCATCATAATGCATGCTGTACCTAATGGTGTGTATTATGGAAGCTATGCATTTCATTCTGGGAAATGGGCCTTGTCAGTTCATGAAATGTGTTCAAGCAGTTATGGTTTGTCCTAGCACAAATGATTATGTTTCACTAGTCAATTTGCTGTCCATCATCCCCTGAGTGTTGCGCCAATTTCAGAAGCAGTTGAATAGATGCATGCAGGACTATTTTTCAACTGGAAAATGCCAGTGCAGTGTACTGACAGATAACACGATAAAGTATCGGTAGTCAGCATGTAATTTTTTTTTTTAGAAAAAGAGCACAGGATGCATATCATGGTAATGTAAAATCTGATGTATTTATGACTGCTGCAGTCCACATTGTCTCACTGTTTGACATGGGCACATACATAGCTGTGAGAAGAAGTATGCTAAAACTTTGATGTACAAAGAGAGACCTGGACTATGATCTCTAACCACGCTACGGATTTGCATCAAGCAACACAGTACGTTCAGAATCATGTCGCGTGTAGGTCTTGGTGCAGCCAGAAATCATTTGTAGAATCTACATGCCGCTTCTTAAACATTTCTTTGAAGTATAATTATTTGACGGTAGCATTTGTGAGTGTAAGGCGTTACCACAATGCTTTATAAAGACCATTTTTGCACCCGGCTAAGTCCTACTTGTACAGTATGTTGCACGAAAATTTGATCAGTTTTAATGTTACGGATAACATCAGTCTCTCTTTCACAGTTTCTACTTTCCTCATTCCCGTTGGTGAAAATGTAACAATGTTTTAGCTGTCTTCATCTTAATGATTAACAGACTAGTTAAAATGATGTTTGATTTTTCTTTAAACAACATTATTTAGTCTTTCAATGTAATTTCTAGCACATCCTTTGATATAATTTACCTAACTGTTCAAATAATATCCCTCTGGTACGGTTGGTGTTAAAGTACTAAAGAGAATTTAATCACACAAAAGTGTAAAATAAAGAGAAAAAAAAAGGGGAGGTTACCATTTTCTTCTCGCTCAAGACTTCATCCAAGATGGCATTCCTCAGGTAGTGATTAGCGGGTGGCATTTCGTATCCGTTAGAGGCGCTTCCGCTAATTGCTTGACATTCTTTGCTGGCTTCTTTCTTATCCGCATCCGCATTTTGCTCAAATTTACCGAAAAGATACTTGGGAGCGGACGAGACGAAGTTCTTATCTTCGACGCCTTCTTGACTCTCATCCTTATTCATATATTCGGTTTTTATACGAGGAAGATTAGAATATCCGCATTCGTTTTCCATTCTTTTATTTTAAGTTTATAATAAAAAAGAAAGAAAATAAATTATAAGCTAACTACTGTGAAGTCTCTCTCTCCTTCTAATGGCGGCCATTAAAGTTTCGTGCGCCCCCTGGTGATAAATGCCTAGAGAAAATTTTAGATGTCGATGCTATTATTTTATCGTCCTCATATCTCGGGAACAAACTCCGCTAGACTCAGGGTTTTTTCTTTTTATTATTATTATTATTTCCGCCCTGTGAGCACTAAGAGGACCTCTTTAAGCAAACCCATTATGGGGTGGTGAGGGACGCGCCCTCATATCCGGACGGACTACTCCCCGATGAATTTCTGGGGATTTTTCGACCCGCTCGGATTCGAACCCGGACCCCCAGAGCGTTAGGGTTGCCATCTTGACCGCTCAGGTCATCCGGCAGTCACTGTTCTTGAGATGTGAAAAAGGACTTAGAAATACAAAAATTAGCGTAAAGTAGTAAAATATAACCAAAATTTAATTTTCTACTAATTTTTCCGAAATTATTGCTCCTTAGAAAATCGTCTATTCACGAAGAATATTTATGTTTAAAGAATTTTTTGTGTTTAACTAAGCATAAATTGTTATATTTTGCACGTTTTTTTGCTAGAATAACTTAAAAATTGGTGTTCCAGCAAATGAAGCTTATCTGACTGGAGTACTGTAATAATTATGCTGTACTGTAGTTTTGTTCTAACATAATAAATTATATAGATGAAAGAGTAGTAGTTACAAACCTTAAACATATAAAAATATTGCTATAGAAAAGTATTATTTATAATAAAACTAAACATCTACACGTACTTTTGTACCTAAAAAATTAGTTTATTATCCTGCTCAAAACAAATTTAATTCTATTGTAACACTTCTTTATTACATCCTGTACTATAACAATACAAAAACCCACACTAGTACTTTGGACCTTATTGAAAGGCAGCATTTGCAGCGTTTATTTGGTAATATGTGATTATTTAAAATATTTGTAAAGCTAATACAATTTAGAAGGCATATAAAAATTCATTATACAAATGATTCTTTTACATATTACTACTTTTTTGTATTGTTATTCTGCTGAATGCATTAAAAGTATCTTAAAAGACATGTTGAATCCAGTTTTAGAATATACCCTTTAATTTTATTATGCATATATCACTGAAATAATGCCTGGATGCTCGGCTTTTGGTTGTTCTAACTCTTCTGTAAAAGGATATCGTAAAATGTTTTCCAAGAGATCCTGTAAAAATGTGGGGAAAAGTGAGAGTTGATGGGAAAAAAGAAATTAAAGCATAATGCCATTCCAACTTTGTTTTCATTCACAAAACAAATTATTCACAGAAAACCACCAAAAGGAAGGCCATCGACTGTTATATAAAAAGTAAAAACTGCAAAAGTTACTTCTCTAGTACTTACTACTCACATCATCAACAAATTTTGGAACATCTTCAACATTTATAGAAGAAACCACATTAGGTGAAGACATTTCTGTAAATCATGATACATTATCTAAAGAACATACAAAAGATATATTTATATTACAACAGAATTTAAAAAATATATAAACAACTATATAGAAGATCATGTGAATAAAGTGTTAAACATGTAAACACTATCAGAACATTGATATAAGCAGTGGATTAAGATTTTTTCAGAAAAGGTAAATAAACCAGAATATTTAACAACTAGATATGATGGATGATATTTTCCACCAATATTATATTGTGGAAAATCAAAACATTGATATAAAGATTTGACAAACTTGTATATTTAAAATGATTTTTTAAAATCTACTTTATGTTGCAGGAAGAAGCTGCATACATTAAATTTAAATCGTTAAATTCATCTCACAAACAAAGCCTTACGTCCCAAAAATGAATTTCTTTTTAAAATGTTTCGAATTAAATAATTCGCAAAACATTCCAACAGTTGCACCGAGATCCGCCATATTGGGACCGCAGCGCTACTCCGTATACGTAGCGCCATCGTCTAAAAACAACGTCAGGACACCAATATTCCTTAAGGAGTCGCCATTTTGGTTCCTTGGTTAAATAGCCACGGTATGAGGATAAGCTAAGCGTCATCCACATATCTATATAATGCATCTAATTATAAGTTATATGGACTTATTGTCTGTGGTACTAAAATGGCATATCTTTGTCAGTGTACTGTTGTTATTTTTAAATATGAATATATTTAAAAATAACAACAGTTAGTTGCTTATGTCATGCTCTCTCATTTATTTCATATTATGCATTTTGCCCAACCCTGCATGTATAATGATAAACAGGAAATTTGTCGAAAAATACAATGTAACTTGTAAATGTAACTTGTATTTCAAAAGAAAACTACTGTATTACAATGCATTTAGCTTCTAAAATCACGGCAGTGACTCTGCGCCAAGTGAGAAAGACACTGACTGACTAGTTAAAAGTATTGAGAAGGGTCACTTCCCATAGAAGGTGCTCGGAGTTTCGGCGAAAATGTGATAATTGTTTACATTTGTATTGATTGTATGCGTTTTACTTTTTCCACCCGTAAACTGTGTCATAATTCGATATCCTTGTATGTTATTACGGCGTTACCATTAAATGATGTGTTAGAATACTTTAAATTTGAAGAATTAGATAAAATACAGTATATAAAAGGCAGACATGAAACGTTATTAGAAAGAAATGTATCCATCACCATCAAGTTTAATAACACGAAAGGAGAGGTATCTCTTTGGAAGTATTTTTATAGGAAAATGGCCCCTATTTAGATGTTAGACAGGTAAAGAAATCCCGGAAAATTTCATGTAGCCAGCTCGTTGGTTGGGTGCAACCCGCCACCAACTATTAATGTTTAGTGGTTTTTACCCACTTACCCATTAAGAACAGCCGTATAGACGAGCGGTTAATTAAAGTAGTAACCTACCGCTCTGGAGACCCGGGATAATGTCCGGACCGGATGAAAAGCCCCAAGATTTCGGAGAATGGGCCGTCTGGATATATTGGATCCCGTCTCTCACCACTCGGTCGCCTCATTGTTAGCCTGGCCAAACCCTTAATTAGCTTGCTAAAAAAATGTCTCCTCGGTGTCCACAGGATGGGAAAAGTTAAAAAACCAATTCATCTACTGTGGGAGAATATTTAGTGTTTAAAAAATTAATAAATGCAATAAAAATCAAGACTGAATTATTATAAAAAAAACACAAGAAGCACTACATATGCACAATTTCTCTCTTCACGTATAGATAATTCAATAATTGTTTTCATTATTCTCTTTTCTCAAGACACTAAGAAGGGCCAATACAGTTAGAACAGTATAAACTAGCCCAAAAGCAATCCTGAACTGAAGAATCCTGAATTGGTTCATCCATCCAATGGAAGTGCGCAAAATTTTCATGCGGCCACCCCAATTGAATACGCTGATTGATTTGTTAACAATTATAGCAAAAAATGGCCCAAATACCAAATTTTTTGTGTATTCAATATATTGTATTGAATAAATTGGTTATGCGGCCAGCGATCGTCATTTTCTAAAGTTTGGTGAATCCCTGCAATAGATAGATCCTCATCTAAAGGGACAACTTTTTAACATGATTCCACAGCGATGATGCCTTTAGGCATTGAGCTTCTCGGTAATTGTCGGCAAACCTAATTAAGCAAATCTATTATTAACAATCCAAAAACCAACAACAATTAACATTTATTATTTTTGCCAGCAGATGGCGCTACATGTAAAGACTGTGTCATCTAAACACTATCCCAGTATTTTGGGGTAATGTATAGCTTCCAGAGTCTAAGTAATACTCACACAAACTTTGGTTCAGATTGATTTAAGAATAAAGATTTGTATAAAGGACAAACCAACAATAATTGCTTTTTATATACTGTATACAGATTAATTTTTTTTTTTAATTTGAAAATTTGCAAATAAATTGTAATCCTTGATAATCCGGCTGTTCGCTAGTTCGACACATCCACAAATCCGATGCTAGGCTAGTGGAATCGGGTATTATCTGAGCTGTCTGCAAGTCATAGACAAGCTTCCCACTAAACATAGCATAATACCGAACCTGAGCGTAAACGCTTGCGCTGGAGAATAATATTAAAGATTGTCAGGTTCCTCAAGAAAAGTACCGTATCTTATAAACTATAAATATAAGAAAATCAATCCCGAAAATTATTCGCTATAAATACCTCCCACTAAATTAGTGGGAATCCTCCAGCTTGGCAACATTGTTTATCGGTAAAGTTTGTTTGTTTGTTAAATTACGGTAACGCAACACTTGGGGATGCCTTCTAGGTGGTCTTTTTAATGGTAACTCGCCCCTATTTAGGCATTACAGACGTGGATAAACCCGGAAAACTCCATGTGGCCAGATTATCCTGGAGAGGCGCGAACCCATGACCGAACCCCCAGTGTCCAGAGAACAGAATGGCCACTGGCGGGCCTTTATCGGCAAAGATAGGGCATCCGAATGTGATGATCAGTAGTCGAAACTTGCATTTTTCTGCCCCTTTAACAATTGACTCCGCGCTTTTAAATTTCTTTGTGTGTCATTGAATTCACTTACTTCCAATAATCCTGCAATCTCCTCGATCCGACATCCTCGATCCTGCTTCGGTCCCATAAATGTCGGATTACCGAGATTGTACTGTACGTGCAATACATAAAAAATATTTTATACAGTCTCCCCGTGTAATAAGTTTAGTTCAATATTATATTTTATGAATGAAAATTGATGTGGGTCGAGGTTGATGTTGCCGTTGAGGGTCAGACCTATTTTAATGGGTATAACTATGGCATGCCATAAGACCTATAGTATATCACGGGAAGTGCATTGTTCTTCATCCGGCTTTCGTGTGGACAACCCCAGCAGAGGTCAAACCCTTGATAATGGGCGTAAGTTCGATGCTCCACCGCATAGTATTGAAACATGCCACGGTGTTTTCATGCTATTTTTTTTTAGGCTGAAAATGGGGGGCTGGGTGCTAGGGCATGGGGGCCCAACATAGCAGGGACGAACCACTCCGAAAAATTCCTGGGGGTGCCTCCGGGGAGGAGGAAAGGGGCCCCTATTTAGTTAAATTCGAAAATTAAAAAAAAACTAATGGATATAATGTAATTTAATTCTAATAATATTTTTGTAAACATCTAATAAATAACAATAATTATAATCTGAAAAATTTTTAATCAAGATAATTTTCTTGATTGAATTGAAAAAGAAAATTTCGATGACATTAATTGAAGTGTTAATTAGGTATAAAGATAATTAAAATTGAAAAATAAAGTGTTTATTTGATGATGATTTACAGTTAATTATCGTCAGAAAACGTTTTATTATCGCATCATAAAGTAAGTATCAGAAGGTTGCGTCTCGATAGCTATAAGGGTGAGGGAGATATGGGGTTGAAAGTGGTTGACTTCGAAGATGTGTAACAATGGAAGTGTTAACAATAGAAGTGTTAACAGTGGAAGTGTCAACAATGGAAGTGTTAACAATAGAAGTGTTAACAATAGAAGTGTTGAGTAACAAGGAAGTGTTAATATAAAGCGGCATGCAAGATTTACAGGCGGTTTTTTGCGTTTTTGCGGGTCCTTGCAGCTAGATTCTAGATTACTTAGAAAAACAGTCTTTTATATATAAAAAAACTATATTACGTGCAAATAAAAACCCAGCGAAGCGAGTCCTTGCAGCTAGTATAAAATAATAAGCGTCTTCATTTCTAAATATATCAGAAAATGAACATCTCCGTTTTCTCCAATTCATCAAAAAAAAATTAACATCATCATCATCAAATTTTAAAGTAAACATATTTATCATTTACAAGTCATAACAGCTCTTCATTCACACAAATCGTCATCATCACAGCTTCAAATACAAAGCAATCTTTCTCATTTCTAAACACGATTCGAAACCATCATCATAAAAATCGTCAGAAGAATGATCATCATCATCATCATCATCTTATTATCAGAAAATAAGCATATTTATAGTTTCCAAACCGTCAGAAAATAAACATCACCACCAGCTTCGAATCAAAGAGAAAATAAATCATCATCCTCTGTCTAAAACCAGAGAAAGAATCATCATCCCTATCATCAGAAACGGAATATTTGTCGCCATTTTCCGATCGTAAGATACATCGGACATTATTAATAATCAAGTCGAAAAGATATTTTATTAATACTTTCAGATAAATTACATTCCCATGTGATTTAATATCATCATCATCGAACGTGACTTTTGTATGTAAGCAACTAGAGAAATTAATCTTCTAGGTTTGTAATTACACAGAATTTTCAAAAGAGGAACCGCGAATATACAAAAAAACAAAAGGGACACAAGAGAAGAATAACATCTTCGATCTATTAATAGAGGCAGATGGGGGAAGGACAGTCAATGCTTCTATTATGATGTCATTGGTGTAATTTTGTTCTTGCTCCTTCTATACACTAGTGTAATTAATAGAAACTAATCAATGTTTGCGTCTATGCGCCCTATTCACTTTCCTTTTCAATCAAAAATAATAAAATATATTCTAAAAAAATCTCTTTTTTTATAATTACGTTTTGTATAAATGCTTCAGCTTGTGTTTTTTTAAAGCTTCTCCAAAAAAAAAAATAAATAAATAAATAAAAATGAAAAACACAACCCACAACACAAGTTGGAGTTCGCATCTTGTATAAGTTAGTTGGAAGTTTATGTGGTTTTTTTTTGCATTTTTTATGCATAAATTTATAAAATTAATAAACGATTTTTTTGGAATTGTTAGTTTTATCCCTAATAAAACGGAATTTTAGGTTAATTTTTTGGAATTTTGGAGGATTTTTTGGAGGATTCAAGGAGTTTCTGATTGTGGATTTTTTGGGGGATATTTTATTTGTTTGGGGAGTAAATTCATTTAAATTAATAAGTGAATTTTTAAAGAATTATCAGCTTTATCATTTAATAATAATATAAAACTTTTGAAATTTTTTATAATAGAATATTTTTCATTTTTTTCGGATTTAAGTGAAGAGATTCGGACCCGGTTTTTAGATGTTTCGGATTAAAATTTGTAATAATTTTACAACTTTTAATATAAAATAAAAATAATTTTGTTCTTAATAAAATGTTTTGTTTTCTTTTTTGTTTTGAAATTTTAAGTTTGACTTTTATAGATTTTTATTCTTTCCGCTTTCATCAAATTTAATCTGAAAAAATGTATTTATTTGTCAAAAAATTAATCCGAAATTCGCAAATATATATATATATTTAATAACACATAAATATTAAATCGATCGAATAAAATGTTTGTCTGGAGTCACGAATTAAAAAAAAATCGATGGAAAATAAGTGCAATTATTGTTTTTTTCCCTTCTAAAAAATCAGTTTTGAACACATTTCAAGACATTTCTCATCTTAAAAAATTCAAAAATTAGTTTTTAAAATGATATTTACATAATGCCGGACTGCATTAAAGGATATTTTCAAGAAAGTTTCGAAAAATTTCAATAAAAACTGCTTAAAAACGAAAAAAAACAATTTTCAAAGGCCTCCAATATAAAGGTTACGATGATCTCTCATTCATAAATTACATAGTTAAAACGCCGCGATTTTAAGCGCTTTTTTTGGATTTTTGCGGGCAATTTTCGGCGATTTTACTTAAAAAAACAGCACAAAACATCTAAAAACAAGAAGAAAAACAACTTTCGGTGGGTTTAAAACGTTTAAATTCAACAGAATTTGCAAGGTTTATTTACATGATAAGCTCGGTCGGAATATGGAAAAGTTATTTGTAGAAGGTATCATATTCATGAATGATATCATTAGAAACATTAAATATCAATCATAATATTTAATATTTATAATTGAAGATGAGGTTATAATATCGAATTTCCAAGAACAGATTTTTCTTGAAGGGGGTGTCGGGTATCAAGATTAACAACATACTCCAATACTATGATGATATCATCGAAAGTTTTGTTACTTTAGCAACAAGGATGTTGGTTTGTCGATGCTTTTACTCAAATTGGATATTCAAGAAGCATGTTACAAATCGAAATAACTTTTACCTGAAGTACAAACAAAGATTCATAAAGGTTCCATCTACCTATCCACTTTCTTTTATAATTAGAAAAATTTTAACTTACCTTTACTTAAAATTAAATCTATTTTCTAATATTTTTCAATTCGAATTTCATTCCCTTAATGACGTTTCACCCTAATTAGTTTTTTTCGGAATATTTTAATTTAAGCGTTAAAATCTCTTCTCGGTTTTTTTCGTTAGTTGCGAAGGTTTTAAGTTGTTTCTAATGAGAGAAATCTTAAATTTTTCCGGGGATAAAATTAGGGAATTTATCCAGAAATTCCCTTTTGAATATAAGAAAATTTCCCTAAATAATTCAACTATTTTAATTTGAATTATTTAGGGAAAATTTTTAGGGATATAATTTTTTCAAAATTCAACAATTTAAATAATAAAAAGTTTCATAAATAATTATTCAAAACAGAAACCTAAAAGTTTTTCCTGTATAATTTTGTGATTAAATTTTTAACAAGTAGTTTAATTATAAAATTATACAGGGAATATTTTAGGGAAATTTCGGGTAAATTTCCTAATTTTATCCCTGGCTTTGTTTTATTTTTTCCATTATAATCGAAATCAACTTTTTAAATGTTGAGGATATTTTCCTGTAGAGGGAAATATCCTCAATTATCTTCTCAATTTCCCTTTAAAGGGAAATATCCCTATTTCACCAAATTTAACTTTTCTGACGAAGAAAATGTGAGCTTTTTGAGCCCAGGCACGATTGTTTTAAGCTTATGGCGATCGAATAAAATCAAAGTATTTTTCAATTATAGTTTTAACTTTTCTTTTTAATAAAAACGCAAAATGAAATATACGTTTAACAATTTTCTTACCACGAAAAAAAGGTAAATTTGTAACATTTCTCACCATTTAAATCAACAGATATTTTTCCAGAAGCATCCAAAGAAATTTAAGGAGTTAATTACTAGAATTTAATTAATTTAATCACAAAATTACAGAATAAAAAAAAAACACAATTATTTGGCTATTAAAAAGCGACAAGATTTCTCCATTTTAGGACCGTTTTCGGCATATTTGGATCCAAAAGTTTGCGAAAGTAAGAAGAAAATAAAGTTAGAAAAAGTTGGAGAAGGTAGAAGGGATGGTAAGATATGAAAACAAACGAATTTTATAGAAATCTACACAAATCTAATTGTCACATTTATCACGTGGATGGGATGTAAAAGATGTAGTTTTGTAATAATTAACCTCCCATGGTGCTATTCAACGAGCACCGACCGATGACAAAGCAGCTTTCTATATTATCAACCGTTTAGTGTAATTAGAAATGAGACACCGACAAAGCGAGTCACTGCTACACTATACCTGATTGGTTTTGTAGCAAACCTCGTCTTTTCCCACCAACTTGGCTCGCAGGGAATCATGGGACGCCAACCGATATTAAAATTTCTTCTCAATACACAGGTGATGAGCATAAAAGATTGGATCGGTGCTCTATACACACACAACACACATTATTTTTCCTACTGTTTGGGCTTATACTACTACAACTCTTATCAACCAATATACCTTATACATCAATTACAACCGAAGTGAGTAATATCAATCTATTTTAGTCTATAAAATAGCATTATTTTTTTTAATAACGGTTTTAAATTATTTAAATTTGAATTTTTTTTCCTTTTCTTCCGGCCGTTTGAAATGTATGAATTTGAGATTCTAGAGTTTTATAAAAAATCTAGAATATTTTTTTCTTTCAATTTCGTATATTCAATTTTGATTCTATAAATTGATAATTTTTTTACAAATTTTTATTTTTTTTTAATGCAAAGAATTAGCTTTTGTGGGTTTTCTTAATGGAAAATGTTTTGTTTAAATTGCTTTTTTTTGATCCCGACTTCAGTGGATCATCTAAGAAAATTTCAATTTAAATTGTTTGAAAATTATCGTGGTTTTTTTTCTAAAAATTTATGGAGTTTTTGGCGATTTTTTAAAATGTATTTTTGTGGAAAATTCTGGATTATTTCTTTAATTCTACTTCTAAGAAGATGGAGAATCAAAGATTTATCTTGATGAAATAATCTAATATCCAAAGAAATTTAGGAAAATAATTATTTTACGTATGTAACTGATTATCAGTAACTGGTATACTTATTTTTAAAGGCCTATTTTTGTTTTAAGTTAGTTTTAGATAAAGATTTTAATGTGTTTTTAGATAATCATTAAGTATAAACTACAGAAGTTAGCTTACAATAAATTAATTTATAGTTAAATAGCCAATTAAATTCACTGAAAAACTTGAACTCTACTCAAAGTTTAATGCAAGAAAATGTTTTGAAGTAATTTTAGATTTAAACTACAAGCTCACAAGCATATAATCCAATCGGTATGCATTTTGACAGGCCTTTTATGGATAAGTAAACTATTATCTAAGCTGTTGAAAACGTCAAAAACATATACAAATATCTCCAACTTCGCTTTCTAAAAGTATTCATTTGAAATTTTTAGATGAGTTCACCATATTTAACTAATCCATCCCCTTTGCCTCTACTTCCACACGGTCCTACGAGTATATGCGTACAAGATTGCTTATTAATTCGTAGAAGACAGGTAATCTGAAGTTTAAAAATAATAACTTTATATTCTAGAGAAGAAAATATATCTATAATTTATAATAATTTTTAAAAAATTTTTTATGAAGCGTCGCAGCAGAACTACTTTTAGTCCTCAACAACTAAACGAATTAGAAGCTTTGTTTCAGAAGACTCATTATCCTGACGTTTTCCTTCGAGAAGATGTTGCTAGAACTATAAATCTTTCAGAAGCAAGAGTTCAGGTTAGTTTCTTATACTATTTTAATAGAAAATTTCCATAATTTAGCTAGAATAACGCGCGATTCGGTATACAATCTTCGTGCATTTCTCGTTAACTTAAAAATATTGACTGATATTATTTAAGTACAGACACGAAAAGCTTTTTATTTTAATGAGGAATGATGTAGAATTTGAATAATAATAAATTAATTTAGAATTTATGCTGTTTTGTATCTTAAAAAGTGCGATAGTTTTGGATAAAAAGATTTTAGCCGCTTTGCTTTCCCGTTATCTTCTTCTATCTAAACTTTTAACACTAATTCTAAAAGTCTTTATAATGTTAGCATGATTTTTCTTGAATTCTTCTGAACTTAAATCTATTTACAACGTTAAAAATCTTTTCTTCATTCAATATTACGATTCATTCGATTTACGATATCGAATTCCGTTCAAATTCTTTTCATTTCTCCAAATTGGGACATTCTAAACATTAAAAAGAAATATTTAAAAACATTCTCCATTAATTAACAAATTATTCAAGATTTGTTTCGTTCGATCTATGCGATAATTCTAATGCGGAGTCAATGCAGAAAGAATCGTTTCTTTAGTAAATAAATCGACAACGGGACAATATATTTTACATTGTACTGTACTTAATTTATCAGGGATTTAAGAAATTTAATTTCATCATAAATTTAAAATTTGGAAGGTATTTTTGTACTGAACGATTTTAATCAGTGGAAAAATCCCTATTTTCTAGGTAAGAATTTAGATGAGAAATAATCTGGCAGGGAAAAAAAGTACATAAAATTCTTGAACAATTTGGATGAGCAAAACAAGAAATGAACCGTACGTTATAGAATTTGTATAAAACATTCCTAAAAACCCTAAATTTTTCTTAAGAAAATCCCTAAACAACGGTGGCTTTAGAATGAGAAGAGCATAGGCCAAAATTCAGTTAACCGCGTGAATCTATCGAACGAGCTATCATCAAGGGAATTTATTTATTTACATCTGCAGACTTTTCGTTAATTTTGCGAAATTTTAAACAGGATATTACACTATTAAAGATAAAAACTAAAATTCGTTTACAAATCCCTAATAATTAAGCAATGGAATTTCCACAATTATCTTTACTACAAGTATACTAAATGATAAATGAATCATTACGTAACTTAATATCTAAT